GAGGACCCCTATCTAGTCTCCATGCCTCCCGCTGGTCTCTGTGTTACCCTGGTAGCCTTTGGTGGATGTGAGGAAGCATTCTGGGGGTATGAGCACTGGGACTGTGATTAGGTTCCCCAGGGCCTGAGTCCTAGCCTGCTGCTATGTGACTTTGGGCAAGTTACTTGACCTGTGAGACTCTTACAATCCCCACATTAGCAATGGCGAGACTTGGTTTTACACAGCAGGGTTATTGTGAGGATTAAATAAAGTACATGTGAGGTGCATGGCATGCCGCTGGGAACACTATAAGTGCTCCATAAATAATAGTCATTATGGCTATGGAGCCCCTGCAAAGCACCTGGGCTTCCCTCTCCAATTCTCCATCCATCTGTCTCCTCATCACCCCATAGCTTTCGTGTAGATGTTGTGAAAGTTATGTGGGACTGGGGAGGGAAAGCTGCCAGCATGGGGCCCGGTTTCCAACGCAGACTCTAGGGATGAGGCGGTGCTCACTGCTGTTAAACCACAGTTCAGCCTGGCTGATTTCTTGCTCCAAATAGCCTTCAGCTCCATACAGTCCTTTTTGTGTTACTCTAGTCTAATCCTTGCTAAGACTTATGAGTAGTTTTAAATGATGGTGTGCATGTATAGATTTGAAAGCCCCATGTTTGGACAGAGCTCAATGTGCATCCTGATGTGAGTGCCTAGGCATCATTATGGTAACTGTGAGGGCAGGACATTAAACCTATTTGGTGTCAGGACAGGATTTTTGCCCTCCGTGTTAAAAGTGTTTTGCTACACAAAAGAGCTGTATGCTTCCCTTGCCAACCCAGCCACTGAACACTGCCTTTTCCCTCCTGCTGTTCCCAGGTGCTGCTGGAACGTCTAACAAATAAACTATTATCATTAGTTGAGCACTTACTATGTTCCTCTTACCAGCCTGGATGCTTCACATTCATTATCTTCTTTTTTTTGAGATGGAGTCTCGCTGTGTTGCCCAGGCTGGAATGCAGTGGTGCGATCTTGGCTCACTGCAAGCTCCGCATCCTGGGTTCATGCCATTCTCTTGCCTTAGCCTCCTGAGTAGCTGGGACTATAGGCGTCCACCACCACATCCAGCTAATTTTTGGTATTTTTAGCAAAGACAGGGTTTCACCGTGTTAGCCAGGACAGTCTCGATCTCCTGACCTCGTGATCCATTCACCTTGGCCTCCCAAAGTGCTGGAATTACAGCCGTGAACCACCATGCGCGGCCCATTATCTTCTTTAATTGAGATAGTACTGTTTTATCAGTTTCCCACTTAAGGAAATGGAAGCTTGGAAATGACAATTAGCTTACCCAAAGTCATAGCTACCAAGTGGCCATAGAGACCAGGGACTTTCCAGGCCACACACCACATCTTTGGTGTGATGCCATTTCAGCTGCTGGGCATCAGAGTCCAGGGTGGACCTCCTGAATTACCAACTCTCTTTGTCATTAATTTTTTCCAAGGTATAGCTATGCCACATGCAATATTTTCCTCCTCCTTTAATTGTTTTGATTAATCCCGTACTCAGGTTTTAATTTTTCTCCTGGGGGGAGGATATGGCAAAAACAAGACTCCTTTTCTGTAAAAATTAGGAAATTCCAGCATCTTAGCACATTTCATCCAGTGTGCTAAGAGTACTCTCTTGCCTGCCAATTACAGAATTAGCAGAAAGGACCCCTATCTAGTCTTCATACCTCCCACTGGTCTATACATCCCAATTCTAATCCTATACATCTGAATTCTGTTGCACTGATCTTAATCTACTTTTCATTCACCAATCTCTTGAATAGAATCAGTTTGCTAATTAAAACATGATGGAATCAAGCTATTTGCAAAATTAGGAGTTCTGACCCTCTGGCCTCTGTGGCCCAGGTGATGTCCTCTGAGACATACGTATGTGTTGCCTTGGCAAGAATTCATGCTGAGAAGACAGTCCATTCATCTTAGGTCTTGCTTAACTAGCAGAATGTAAACATCTCTGAACTTTGCTTACTGGATAAAAGGCAGCATTAGCTTCTCATTAGCTTCCCATTGCATTTCCTCCTGCAGGATCAATCACATATCCAGCCCAGACACGTGGCCCCTGCTTGTAATTAATCTTGGAAAGGCGTAGCTCTTCTGTGGATGGATTGCTGTATTTGAGCGTGGCTTTCAGAGGGGAGAGGTGGGACAAATAAAGGCTGGAAGCAGAATAATAAGCACTAGTGTTTGCGAAGTCTGCTCTGTGCCCTGTGCTGCAGGAAGCTTTTTTTAGTGGTTGATTCACTGTCAGAAAATTTGCTTTTGCCTGAACGCGACTTAGCATCAGGGAAGGAATTTATGATTTCTTCTTTTCCAGAGTGTGAACTTCATGCCTTAGGTAGTTGCGTCTTTTTTTTTTTTTTTTTTTTTTTTTTTTTTTTGCCAAATTGAAGTTGTCTAAATCCTATCTTTTGGGTGGTTCTAGAGTTATACTCCATACTTTCAACCTGTCTGAGGGGTGGAAGTGCTTGGGTTCCTCTCTTCACAAGGATTTAACTGTGATACTTTCATACAACTGAAAGAGACCTTCTTTTGACCTTGTTCTCAGAACTCTGCTTTTCTAATTCTTATTTGAATTTTAAATGCTTTAAGGTGGCTGGATTTTTTTCTTTTTTTAAAATTGTGGTCATCTCAGTTACCAGGCTGGTAGAGGGCAGCTGGGAAGGCAGTAATAACAAGGAAGTGAAGATCCCATGAATATTGATCATCAGAGATGGCTAGGACTTGAGGCACTAAGGATTGTCAGCTCCTTGCCTTTACTGAATAGTATTTGTTGCTATTTTGGAAACCAAGCAAATTGCAGAAAAACCTTTACAGAAACTCAATTTACATGAAATCCACCTAAGGAGTCACATCCCCAAAAGCTCTAGGAGGACCGTTTGAAAAGGCAAGTTTCCTTGCTGCCCCGAATATCATGTGTGAGACACACTTCATTTAAGGGTCATGCCCATTGTGTAAAAGGAGGTGCATCTGCATTATCTCCGAAAAGGGATTTCTTCTGACAAAGCATTTCCCTCCCCCACAAGCCTCGAAAGTCATAGACAACACGAGGATAAAGATATACTGACAATGGGAGGATTATTTCCTTACCTGGCATATGACAAATGCCTATTAATAAGTGAACAAGACAATCCTGTCTCCATTTTCTCTCAAACACCCTGACCTTGTGGTCAGTACTCATGGGGTTACTGACCTCACTTATCCTGCTGCCTGCCCAGGACCCTGGGGGTAAACCATCCCGGCAAGCCTGAGACTGCCCACCCAGACAGAGGGGGCTCTGAAGGGGGCCCTTGGGCTCTGTCCACAGGAGCAGGTAAGCTGTTCTCACTTCCTCCTGCATGCCCGCCTGTTTTGCCTCAGCTCTCGCATTTCTGTTGCGAGAACTCAAAATGCTTGCTTGTCAGACAAAATGTATATCTGGAAAGTATATTTGTTTGAAAACTTGACTGGCATTGAGACCTCAAAGGCCTGGCTGGGCATTTCTGGTTAGCAGCAGAGACCTAATTTTTCTTTTTGAAAGTCCTGCTTCCTCCCCACAATTCCTGGCCTTGGAGCTCTGTGAAATTTCGTAAGTTGCTTCCCCTTCCACCATGATTGTAGTTTCCTGAGGCCTCCCCAGCCGTGCTTCCCATACAGACTGTGGGACTGTGAGCCAATTAAACTTCTTTTCTTTATAAATTACCCAGACTCATGTAGTTCTTTATAGCAGAGCAAGAACAGGACTAAAACAATATGTTTGTATTCTCTTCTCTCCAGTAGTTCTCCCAAGAAATTCTCTCTTTAAAAAATTCAGCAGCTAATAGAGTTTTGGAGGAAGAAAACCCTTTAATGAAACATGGTTTCATAGAGTAGCAGTAAGGGGAAGTTCTGCTTCTGAACAAAATGAGTTACCTCAACACCACCATAAAATACTCAGGGAAAGGTAACCAAGAACAGGCTTCTGAGAACGAATGAGTCACCCTCTCTTACACTCTGCAGCCTGAGCTGGGAGACACTGGCACACACCTGCTGACACCGGCAATGACTCACTTCAGTCTCACCTCCAGACCTGTCAGATCTCCTGGCCATTATTTAGAGAAATCACTAGCAAAATTGAAGGACAACTCACAAATCCACATCACCCTGTAGTTCTTAACCAACTTCTGGGGGCTGGGAGCAGTTGCCTCATGGGGGGGTCCTCTCCCCAGATTCTAGGCCAAGGCACAGAGGTTGACACTGACTCTTCCAGAATGTCATTATTGGAACAGCTCAAAGATCCACCTCTGTTCGCCCCTGAGGGAGACACAGGTGAGTTGGAGCTGGTGAATTCTGGAACTCTGGCTCTTTGTACCATACCTCAAAAGAGCCTCCAGTCCTGGGGGTAGGGGGTAGCTTTCCTGCAAATGGATGTGCTCACATGCCTGGGGAAGGGGCTTATTCAGATGCACAGACAGGAAGAACAGGAAAGTGGGAGAGACCAAGGCAGGGGACAGAATTCAAGGGGTCCATGCAGCTTCCTTGGTAATATTTTTTTAAAAATTATTTGTGCAATTATTTACTGACATAACTGAATGAGGAATGGGTAGACAAATATCCCTGAGACTTTGCTCAAAGTAAAACACTTCCATAACACTAGATATTACTATTTTAATGTTAACACTGAAAGACCATATTCTGAGACAGTGTCTGAAGCACAGACAAGAGCAAGGACCCCTTCCCCATGGGAAGTGAATCCCAGGGACGGTGGAGAGAGGCAGGGACATGAGTTGTGTCTCCATGCCCCAGAGCTGACCACTCCCCTGACTTTGCTGTGTTCTACAGCCTTGTAACACCGGCCAGTGCTCACTCTGGGCTTGTTTTCTTATTGCTGAGATGGAAATAACAATACCCTTGAGCCTCAAAAGCAGGCTATCACATGCCTGGCCAAAGGCCATGGCTGTAGCAACTCAGAACCCGATCATATAGCACAGAAAAAACCTGCCTACTGACCTGTTGGTGCTGCTGAGCCTCTCCATCCTTGTTCTGGACACAAATTGAGAAGTCCAAACCCCTCCTTCACTCTGCAAGAAATTTTCAGGAATCAGTCACCCTCTAGTCACCTTAACTTCAAGGCAAGCCTTTTCAGACTCAGCAAAAGCAACCTTGGGACTTATCTGAACTTCATAGGGGCCATGAAAGATGGTCCACTATATAATGGACCTGCCATCTTAACCCTGGGCTAAAAAACTGTGGGTGGGGTAGGTGGTTGAGGGGAGGGAGGGAGGGTGTGGTAGGTGAAGAGTTCTGCCTGCCTGGGCACTCAGTGCTGGATTTCTCCCTGCACTTGCACATTCTTTAACAAAGTGGCAGGGCACAGCTAACATTATCATGCACCCTCAAGTGCCTCTTAGCTCATTTCATGCGATGCTTCTAGTGGCATGCTTTTATGAATCTTCGAAGCACAGGTGGTGAGAGGATGAAGAGTTTCCTGTTTTAGGGCTGGGTGCTCTCAGACTGTGTGTGTTTGTGACACCATTCTTTCCTCCCCCCTTCTCCCTCCCATTCTACATCACTAGAAAGAAAGAAAAAAGGATGGGATACTCTTTAAGACAAGCAGCAAGCCCACAGCTTAGCTGATGTCATTCCTTTGTTCCTATTCCTGGGGGCTAAGGCAATAGCTACAGACCTGGGGGCAGGAGAAGGGGAACTTTCAAGTAAAGCTGAAGAGAAAGGAGTGAAATGAGAAAATCTTTAGCAAACCTCATCTTCTCAGCTGATGATATGGTTTCACTTCAGTTCTCCTTGTCCTTGAGAGGCAATAAAATGGGATGTGACAAGATGGGAAGTAGGTCACGGTTTTGTCCCCATCTTGCAGATGGGGGAAACTGAGGCAGTGGAGCTTAAAGCAGCCAATTAACCTTTATGAAACCACAGGTTGCTAGGGGCCATACATATTTAGCAAACATCTTTAGCTTTCCTTTGAAACTAATGCTTTTAATTTTCTTGACTCCTATAATGGGTCCAGACCAGCAAAGTGAAGATGAGCAAGTCAGCTCCTCCATGACATTGATTCAAACTAAGTTGGCAGGGGCGTTAAGATGAGCACACTGGACTCTAGGAGGTCTGAAAGGGGCTCTTGCAGGTACACTCTGGGTATGTGGGATAGAAGGAGAAAGCTCAGCAACACACACCTAATGATTAGATGACAGTTTCTCCATCTGTAAAATGGGATGACATTCTCCTTGGCTGGTAGAGGGAATAAAAGATAATCCTTGGGCTCAATCAACAGTCACAGTAATTGGCAGCTCACTAACAGGTGTCTGTAATACCACAGAAATAAGCCCAGACACCAAAGTGGGGAGTTCCCATCGTCAGCTCTGTCCTGAAAGAGTGGCACACACTTGGCACATTCATTCTAAATTACGCCCCTGGCCTCAGGGTCCATTATGTCAAAGGATAATGTATTTGTGGCACCCACTATGTCCTTGGAAGAGGTTTTCTACAGGATGTGGAAGAAAAATTTAAAAGGATCAAAATAGAGGTATCAGTTGATTCATAGCCAGGATAGGGTATACAGTGTTTAGGTAGTTGTAGTAAAAGCAAAGAAAAACAATGGAGAGAGGAAACATCACACAACTCACACTGGTAGAAGACCTGGAGAGCAATATTGAAAAACATTTTGATGCCCATTAGGTAACTGTGCCCACTCTGTCCCTGGCAGTTAAGTGCCTATCTCTGGTCTCTGACACATGATGATCCTATACCATCTCCACTGAAATCAGAGAGCCTATCTCAATGGCAGCACCCCCACCAATGTGCCCAGCCTACAGAGCTCAACCACCACAGTGATCTCCCAGGCCAATGGGGCTCCATCAGTGACAGGCTGCTCAAGGCCTTACTGAAGGGAGTATCCTCTGAGCCTGCTCCAGGGACAGAGTGTGAATGTGGGTGTGCAGGGCGCACATGATAAATCGATTCCCACATCCCAGCCTTCTAAGCCTTTGATTCCATCCTCTTACATGATGCCAAGGAAGTTTTGGAAACCACATGGAACGTAGAACCATTGAGTCTCACTTTCAGCTAACCAACCAAACTATCTCTTGGAGCCACTTCCAGCTGCTCAGCTGACACATACAATTCAGGATCTCTCAGGATCATCTTTGGTCCAACATCCTCATAATCCATTCCTATTCACATTCTTCAGGTTTTCACCAACACAAATTAGCAAAATCTTGCAATCCTTTTGTAGGGATGCCCCTCCTGCCCTGGGAAGCAGACAATCCCCTGCCTCCCGCTTGGTGGAGGGTCTAGGCTGAGGCAGGGCTCCTGGGCTGCAACCCTCCTGCTCCTCTAGTGACCGCTGGTGTTTCTGCCTGCGGAAATGGTTCTTCAGGAAGCAAAACTTGCTGACAGAGACACTCTGCTCTATTTTGGTGTTTTGCCAGAGATTTTACTTTGATTTAGAAACTGAAGAATCCCTCTGATCCTGAGAAGGTCCCAGAGGAAAGAACCTGAGGAGACACCCTGCAGCTTTCTGGCCTGACAAAGCTGCTTTTCTGAATTAGTCTTTCCAGGACGGGGCTGAAGACTCAATATTCACCTCACTGGCACCTTAAACTCCCACCTTTATACTCCCTCCAAATGCAAGAAGACTTGAATTGTTATCAGAGACAGACTATAAAAAAGCAGCAGTAACTGAGTTCAGGGCAGCTGAGGAGGGCTAGAGATACCTGGCTTCGCTGGAATCTTCTGCAATCCCTCGGTTGCAATAGCCATCTTTCACCAAGACTGACCGTGCCTAGTGCTCCACATACCCCCTCCCCAAGCCTTGCAGCAACCCTGAAAGGTGGACATCATTGCCCCCACTTAATGGGTGAGGAAATGGAGACTCGGCCTCACTCACATGCTTCCCTCTGCCTCCACCATTCTCCCAGTGATAGTGATGACAAGCCCGGGAGGCTGGCGCTCATCCCCCAGATGCCGAGACAACAGTGTGCCTCTGGATCATGATGGCGGGGAGTGGCTGTGGGCTTCTGGGTCAGTCACAGGCATTTGGCTTGTGCTTGAGCCATAGTCCTCCTGTCCCCAGGTGTCTTCAGGGAGTGTGGCCCTTCCTTTCCTCACAGGCAGGCAGGCTGCCTACTCTCCACTGCTTTTCCAAATGCCCCTGATGAAGACGGGAGACTGATTCATGCCATTCCATTTTATTCATGTTTTAGAGGCACCTCTTTAAAACTTTAGTTTTGAAAAGCCTGGAACTGGCAGCAAAATGGACATTCCTGGTTATCCAGGAAGGTGAAAACTCACACGGCCTATGAAACGTAGATGAGAAAATGTATGATTCCTTCAATGCAAAGTGATCCTCTGCCAAGTGGACTCAGTTCTCGGAAATCATGTTTTATGCTTTGAGACGAATCACTGACCGGAATGTGCAAGGTTAAAAAAATTTAAAACAGGATTCAGCATCAGTGTACAAGTATAACCAGAAGGTTGTTTTATCAACCTTTTTTTTCTTTTCTTTTCTTTTCTTTTTTTTTAAGCAAGTAAGCTCAATTCCTGAGTTACTGTTGGAAGCTTTCCAAAAGATAAGGCTTCAGTGAGAGAGCTGGACTTTGAGTCAGACAGACCCATCAGTCTGCCTTGCTCTGGCATCCCTAGCCATGCAGGGTCTTGAGCAAGCCAGTGAGCTCAGTTTCCTTTGGGTGAGCTAGGGACAGCAACCCCTTCAGAGGGTTTTTCTGCAGATGAGGTGGGGGAGAGGGAATGAGCATGGGGTACATAGGAGAACAGAGGAGCCCAACACACCTTAGTTTTATTCCCCTTGCTCTTGGGACTTCCATTTCCGGAAGATAATTTTTCCACACCTCCCAAGAATTTATTTGATTCAACATCTAAAAAGGCTGGGTTTGATACTACAAAATTTGGTAAGCAGTGATTCCAAAAAGCAAACCAACAAGAAACATGTAAGCACCAAAGCTGAGTCAATGGGCTGGTCACTGCGACTGTGAAGGGAATACCAATGTAACTCACTAGACTTTGAATACAGAGAGATGTTGTTCACAATGATTACCAGACAGAAGTGTTCCCTGTTACCTACACAACCATAAAATTAGTCAGCAATTTCCAGTTAAAGCTCCTATTCCAGGCAGTAAGAGAATAAGCGAAAACCAAATCCTCCCAATCAAGCTTAAGAACAGGATAAGAGAAATAAGTACATTGCACATGCCAGTTGTGAGGAAGGTGAGGATTTAAATCCCTGGGTGATAGAATTCTGCTGGCGCTTCAGTTTTTATCCTACTCTTCAAAATTACCCCACACTGGGAGTTCAGAATGCAAAATTGCAAAGGCAGTGATGTGCGGGGAAATGAGATAACAAGGCTCAGCTTGTGGGTTTTGCAGCGTCGGGTTTGTGTCAGGATGGAACTGGCTGGAAAGTGTGACTATTGAGAGACTTGCTGCAAACTTTCCAGTTGAACCAAAGACTTAGACCCCAGCAATGCAGCCGGCCCCTTCCACTGGAGAAGAAGCTGCCTGGCAAACATGCAAACGCGAAGAAATCCTTCTCCTAGTGGACCCAGCTCGTAGAAATCATGTTTTCTGCTTTGAGCCTAATTATCAACAAAGGGTCATCTTCTCTGGGCATCCTGATTTTGTTTTTGGTTCACTTTCAATTTCCATCATTATGAATCAAATTAGTAAGAAGTGAATTATGAACCAATCTTCCCCACCCCTCCCCTCCACACACAGATAGCCCCCTCACCCCCCATTTCTTAGGCCTTGCTGCGAGGATGAAATCTACAAGAGCGTAAGTGCCATTAACTGACATTCATCAAAACACTCTCCATTGTTCGCAGACATGAGCAGCCGAGAGGTGGAAATTACTTGGCATTTCATTTTAATCTGTATTGAAGACTTGCCTGACAAAACATATTAAGTGTAAGAATTGCCAGCTTGGGACTGAAGCTATGTTTATGGCTTGCCCCGTCTTTCTCTTTCCTAAAGGAAAGGAAATGACACTTCCCCTCTCTTTTCCAACCTTCTGCAGCTTACCACCCCACCCCCACCATCCCTGAAACCTTAA